TCTTTTCCCTGCTGTCACTTTAAACTTCATTTCTTCTTCCCAGAAACACTGACAAGCTTACGTAGAAGAACTCCCAGCACCTGGGAGGCCAGGATGTGGCACTACCTTGTACGATTAACGAAGCAAGGGAGGACGCCCACTTATCTTGCCTGAACCGCTCAACCGTTCCCCATTCCAAAGCCATTTCCCCACATCTTATCGGGCCCTTACTCCCCACCGGAGTCATTATCACCCTAACCTCCACATGCACTCATTATCCTACCTTCCCTCCCCTTACCAGAAAGTCCAAGTTCTCTAGCAAGGGATTCAAGGCCCACCTATTCTCACCCCACCCCACCTTGTCAGCTTCGTCTCCCAAATACCTCTGCACACTCAGCACTCCCCCCCATCCCTCTATGAAGCCTTCTGTGAAGCAGCCACTTAGAATTAGTTGCTCTTTCCCATCCAGTCTTGTTATGCACTGCTTTTATCTCTAAGGATCTGGTCCTGTATCTTGTCTCTTCTACTAGATCCAAAGGGCAGAATTTGTTAATATATTACATAATTAATTTATAAGTTTGCTAACAAGTTAGCAATGAGTAAAAGAGTGAATTTTTCCACCTAAACATGGTAACTTCAGTCCAATCATGCATTCCCCTGCTCTCAACTCTCTAATGGCTCCCACCTTACTCAGATGAAGACCCAAGGCACTGGCCTACAAGGCCCTACCTGATTTGACTCCCCAGTTTCCTCCAAGGTCTCAGGCCCTTCCATTTTCTCCCTTGCTCACCGCACTCCAAAAGCACTAATGTTCAAGCCATTCATCAAACCCACCATTCTGGCCTCAGAGCTTTTGCTCTTGCTTTTCTCCCTGCCTAGCACACGGGTCACAAACTATTTCAGTAAAGGGCCATATATTGAATATTTTCAGCTTTGCAGACTATATATAATGCCTCTGTCACAAATACTCAACTCCGCATTGTAGCACAAGGCAAAAGTCAAGCATAGACAACATATAAGGAGGGGCGCCTGGGTGGATCAGTCGATTAAGCATCCAACTTTGGCTCAGGTCATGATCTCATGGTTTGTGGGTTCAAGCCCCGCATCGGGCTCTGTGCTGACAGCTAGCTCAGAGCCTGGAGCCTGTCTTCAGATTCTGTGTCTCCCTCTCTCTCTGACCCTCTCCTACTCATGCTGTCTCTATCTCTCTCTCAAAAATAAATAAAACATTAAAAAAAAAAAGACAACATATAAGGTAATGTGTGGCCAGATGTGGCCCAGAGGATACAGTTTACCAAATTCTGCCTTAGCATAGTAGGTGCTCCAATATACTGAATGAATGAATCCAGGGAGAAACTATTCCTCCCTAGGCCAGTGCAGAGTCACTAACAACACGGGTCCCCGGGTGAGAATCATCCCCGGGCTGTCAATTCAATAGCCATCCTCCACCAGCACCCCAGCACTCCTGCCCAGCTCTGGCCACTTAAACCCCATCTTCCTGGGCACCATCCTCCAGGCCTGTCCCTTAGGCCACGGTGCCACCCTGGGAGGGGAGGGGAAGCCACAGCGAGAAATAGACACAATTCCCAAGACCCGGTTTTCATGCAAATGTCCCCAGTAATAAAAGAGGTGGAAATTGAAAAACATAAAATAGATGATAGAGGAGCCAAACTGTGCCTAAATAGACTGGAGCCAGAGTTTTCCATAAGGTGTCAGTGAGTCTTTAACATGCAAATGAGCTGCTTCCCTCAGGGTATTTTAAAAGACCCTGTCAGCCGTGAAATATGTCTGTCGATGAAAAACACCTTTCATTATTAAACCTTTTGCTAATGAATCACCTGCCCTGTTCTGTTTACTTGCCTTTCTGACTTTCACCTGAGTTACCTCTCACAGGAGCACACACTTTTGGGAGGGGCCTGTAGGACACCAAGACCCTAAAAACCTAAAAATTAGATGACAGTTTTAGCAACAACTAACCTTTACAAAGCCCTCTGCACTCATTATCTCATTAGATATTCCACACAACCCAGTAAGATGAGACAAATATTATTATCATCCACAGGCATAAATAAGGGAAGGGACAAGCAGAGGATTGAGAGATTTTTCCCAGGTGCTCAATTAATAAATGGCAGAATTGGAGCTTGAGCCTGTCTATGGCACATGACCTCTGTAACAGGGACTCCGGACACTAATGTCCTTACCACCCCTCACAAGTAACCATTCAGTCACTGTGGGGCAGCGACTCTGCTTTCTGACCCTCTACACTGCCCAAAGGGCAGGCATGTGGAAGACACTGGTTGGAGCCCGGAAAATCAACATGTCAGAGTATCGACCAAAGCACCTCACCAGAAATAACCAACTCTGTCTATGAAACAGTTAGGAGGGCGGTGTTATTGTCAAATCTCTATGAATGGAATTCATCTTCTTGGACCATAGGGAACACCCCAGCAGGTGATGAAATGAGGCAAAAGGCAAGTGTGGAAAGTTCTACAAATGGGAAGTTGATGGTCAAATGGAAGGTCCATCCTCTTGACAGAACTAAATGGGGAACCAATCACTTACAGTTTGCAGTGGGCCAATGAGTGGCTAGGCCTACGAGTTACCACCCACGTGCAGTCCCCATGCCACATTCCAGGTCAATAAGCATGGAATCACCTGTCCTGCTTGGTGCACAGGTGAGAATGGTCAGAAGAAAGGCACTTTGGGCTCTAACTCCATCATTCCCATATAGTGAGCGCAGTCTCCTCCCATTTCCTAGAGAGGCTATTAGAAAGATGAGCATTATTTCTTCTGGTCTACTCCCAAGACTGGAAAAGACCCTTGGAGACAGTGATCAGGTTTTCAGGGAAATCTGGTAATTGATGCGGATAAAAAGCAAACAAGGTGAGGGGCGCCTGGGTGGCTCAGTCGATTAAGCATCTGACTCTTGGTTTCAGCTCAGGTCATGATCTTGAGGTTCCGGAGCTCCAGCCCCATGTGCTGACAATGCCGAGTCTGCTTGGGATTCTCTCTTTCTCTCCCTCTCTCTCTGCTCCTCCCCCACTGATGTACACATGTGTGCTCTCTCTCTCAAAATAAATGAACTTTAAAAAAAATTAGCAAACAAGGTGGATATCATCATGGCTCAAGTCTAGAAAGATGCGGAGTCGATACCCAGGGACCATCTAGTTGGCCTGATCAGGTTTACAACCTGCCCTGCCACTAATGATGCAGTCCAAATAAAATCATACTCCCTTTCTAGGGCTTGATACCCAGAAGGTGGCTGAATCAATACTGATTGAATAAAGGAATCCCTGGCTGATGCCACGGTCCCAGAGCAGACAAGGAAAATAAATCTCACCCAGGCAAGGAATAAAATTCCCCATTCAGGGGCGCCTGGGTGGCTCAGTCGGTTAGGCGTCCAACTTTGGCTCAGGTCGTGATCTCAAGGTTCGTGGGTTCGAGTCCCACGTCGGGCTCTGTGCTGACAGCTCAGAGCCTGAAGTCTGCTTCAGATTCTGTGTCTCCCTCTCTCTCTAACCCTCCCCTGCTCGTGCTCTCTCTTCTCTCTCTCAGAAATTTAAAAAAAAAAAAAGAAAGAAAGAAAAAGAAATTCCCCATTCAGTCCATCCTGGGAAACTGGAGACTCAGGGAAAACAGTGAAAAACCAAGCACAAAGAGCAAGTGGCAGGTAAAGGGTAGGTCTCTGAGGTCCCTCCTGCACAGAAATCTAAGTCCACGAGATTTAGTTAGTGAGTTGGGGGCCAGGGAGCTGGACAGGGAATGGCAGAATGGATGCCAGAACCAAGCACTATTCTTTATCTTATAGGTCCCCTGTCTGCAAGAAAATGTATACAGCAGGAAGGAATCAAATGCAGGCTCTCCCAGCAGAGGTCAAATCTTACGTCTGTGAAGGCTGTTGAGAAACAGCCAAGCCAACAACGACACATTAGAATATGATGTAATCCAGGAAAAATGACAAAAGTGTAGACTTCAGAAAATCCGTATATAAAATAATGTAGGGGCAAATTAACAATATACACAGTCATATGCACATGTTTATCATAATTACAAAAAGTTAAACTGGCAAACCCATAACCCAGTGTGAGGAATTGGTGTTTTAAGTTAACAGGATTTTTTCCCCCCTGTAAAGCAGTAGTGCTCAAAATCATGTCCTGGGCAGCATCTGTCTCCAGGGAGCATGTTAGAAATGCAAATTCTTGCTCCCCACCCCAGACCTAGTGATTCAGAAACTCTGGGGATGGGGTCCAGCACTGCGTATAGTATAACAAGCCCTCCAGGTGATTCTGACGCAGTCTGATAGCTTGTGCAATAAGAAAATGCTTAAAGAAAACATACGAAGACACAGAGAGAGTCTAGTTCCCTTTCACCTCGGCAAGTATTTCTTGAGCACCCACGAAGTGCCAAATGATCATGGGCGTGATCAATAAATACTTGTTGAATTGGTTGACTTCCTACCTAGTAAAAAGTAAATGTCACTTAACCTGGGGAGAGAGCTGCGCTAAGGGGCTTCCAGAGGCGGCTCTCCATACGCAGCTGTTACCAGCACGTTTAGTGGGAGAACTGGGAGCGCAGGGCCGCGCAAAGTGCGGGAGATCAGAGCGCTCCCGGGCACGCGGCGCTACCAGACCGCAGGGATCTCGGCGGCGCCCCACGCTCTAGTCCGGACCACGCCGGGCCCCCCGCCGCCCGCGCCTCGCAGCCCACACACAGCCTGGGGAGAGGTCGCCTGGGTGAGCCACCTGATGCCTCCTCCTTCAGCTCCAGCCCTGCCTGCATGCGAGACTGCGCCACCGAAGTAGCCAGTCCACGCTTCTGCCCACTGGGGAGCCTGGCAGGCGAGTCACCGCAGAGGAGGCGGGGCCCTGCCGGTCACGTGGCCGCGCGCCGGCCTGGGTGACAAGGTCAAGGGCCGAGGGGTCCCTCCCCGCGGTTCCAGCGGAGGCGGGCGCCCGGCTCATTTACACAGCCACCCCAGCGCTCTAGGCACCGCGCAACTCTGGCGATACTGTCCTACTCACCCCAAGCGACGCGGGGACGCGGCGCCGGATTCCGCGCCGCAGCCGGGTGACGGGATTCGCAGGGACTTGGCTCTCAGCCACCCGCTGATTGCGCCTAATGAAGCGGAGGCGCCGCGCGGCCTGCCGGGACTTGTAGTCCGTGGTTCCCTAAGCCGCGGGCACGCGAGCCACCGGACCCGCGCTCCGCGTGGACCGCTCCTTCCGAGGAGGCAGAGGAGTCAAGACACCTGATCTGTCAGAGGGCCTTGTTTTTTTCCCCGGGCTACGGACACACCATCTTTCTAAAAACTTGTTTTCAATAGTCTTTCCGAAGGAGGCGTAGATTCGTGTTCGGTGGAGGATGGAGTTGTGTATTTCAAATAAGGTATTAGAACAAGTAAGCGAGGAAGATATTCACTGACAGTTGCCGAATGGTGAGAATTTGCTGATTGATCTTCGTTATCTTTGGCCCCCATTCGTTCATTCATTGACCTGTATCGCATGTTTGTAAGATGTGCTTTGGAGGTATTCATCAGACGTTCATTCATTCCACAATTATCTCTTGAGCTACTTCCTGGGGGAGCAGAGATGGGAGGGGTGGATGCGGCAGTCGTCTATCAATTCAATACAATTCCAGTCAAATTTCCAGCAGGATTTTGCTTGGACTTTCACAAGCTAATAAAAAATTTATATGCAAAAACAAAGGGTAAAGCATAGCCAAAACACTCCTGGTGAATGACATGTTTCAAGGACTTGGCCCCTCATGTATCAATATTTATTATAATGCTATAAAAAATTAAAGCCGTTTAGTATTATTGTAAGGATAGGCAGGGGTGGGGAGACAGAGAAGAAATCAGCCCAGAAACAGATCTAGGAATATGTGTGATCTTGATATATGATGGAGCTGGCATTATAGGTCAGTGGGGATAGACACATGATTCAGTATATGAGCTGGCACAACTAGTTATCTGTTGGATTCCTCACTCCAGGTAGATTAAAGACTTTCAAGGGGAAAAGCAAAATAAGGTGTTTTAAAAGAAAATAAACGAAAACATTCAATGATCTCAGGGTAGGGTTTATTAAATGACACAAACATACAATACCTTGGTAAATATGAACTACATTAAATTCAATAACTTCTCTTCATCGACAGCATTAAAAAACAAGCCACAGACTAAGATAATTGCAGTACAGAGACAGCAGTAGTATAGAATTGCATAATCCAGCCCCCACTGTCTCCCATGGGTGAGGTATGCATGCTAAGATAAAAACATGAATAATTTTCAAGCATTGTGAGAAGTGTGAGCTGAAGGTATGAACAAAGTGATATAGGGACACAAAGAAGGGAGCAGTAATTTTGCCCAGGAGATTCTGAAATGCTCCATAAACTAAGAACTGACTTGGAGGCTGGGAATTAAAGTCTGAATAGGGGATTCCCTGGAGAAAGTTGTTGGCATCAAAAAAAATCATATAAAAATGCAGTAAAATACAGTAAAGGACATAGAGGTATTTAAATTAGAATGGGAAATTTAAAACCAGAGAGAAGACAGAATAAATACATTAAAAACTTAATATGGTTCCTCTAATCGCCCCCCTAAGTTTACCTGTGAAAATGTTACCAGCAGGCTAGTAGCTGCCCTGAGGAATGGAAATAGGGAAGTGAAGGCTAGAGAACTTTCAGTTTACATCCTGTGCCCTTGTATCATATTTGAATTTTTTTTCAACGAATGTGCATATAACTTTTACAACTAAAATTTAATTTTTAAACATTTTTAAAATTTTAATTTTTAAGCCTTCCAGTTCAACGTGGTATGTTGAGTATACTCGTTTAAACCCACTGCTTCCTGAAATCCCATGAAAATGACAGGAAAGGAATCAAAAAGTCATAAAAGCCAAAGGGAACAAGTGAAGAGACAACAGCAGATAGGAAAAATAAAAAAATAAATGTGGGAAGCTCCAATACAGGTAGGCAAATAAGACTCTTATAAACAAGCCAGTGTCTGAGCCCCAGCCCCAGAAGTTTCTAATTTTAGAGTCTAGCTTGGGATGTGGAGCTCCCTCCGTAATCCTTAGAAAGCTCCCTCAGTGATTTTAATGGGCAGCTTAGTGGAAAAGCTCTGTCAAGGAGGCAGTTCGTGTAGTGAAAAGTGGGTGGATTGAGAGCAGTGGTTCTCAGCCAGGTTAGAATCCCCTGGAGAGCTTGAACAATCCTTCTGGGCCACACCCTGGCCCTCTTAAGTCATTTTCTGGGTGAAGGACCTGGGTGTAACTATTTTGTGGAGCTCCCCAGAGGGCTTCAATGCACAAAGTTAGACACCACTGAGTTTGAACTGTGTGACTTAAAGTACATTTTCTAATTTGGCAGAGCTGGACCTTCCTTTTGATTTTCCAGTGGTAAAATGATAAAATAGTGGTTTCCTTCTTGATAAAAAGTGTTAATCACCATCTGTCCTACCTACCTCAGAAGTCCTTGTGAGGATCAGGTGAGACGGGGAGTGCACTTTGAAAACTGGATATTGCTGTGAAGACATGTCCCATTAAGCTTAGAAGAAAATCCAGACTCTTTACTCAACTCACACAGGACCTGCTCCTACTTACTCCCTCTGTCTCCAGCCTCACCACCCTTCTCCCTCCCAGCTCAGGCCACTCCAACCCAACCAGCTTCCTGTCTGTTCCTCCACCTGCCAAACTGGCTGCTGCCACGAGACCCTTACAGTTGCTGTTCCCCCATAATTTCACAGGTCTGCTCCATCCCAGCAATCTGTTCTCTGTTCCCATGTCACCCCCTCCAGGGATGGAGGGAGGCCATCCCTGACTGTCCTTATCTAACTAACCACCACCAACCCTATACATTCCCTGAGACTCACTCTGTCCCCTTACCTTGCTTTATTATTGTAGCACTCATCAGTACTTGAAATTATATTATTCATTTGTTTAGAGGGCTTTTATCTGTCTCCTCCACTGGACGTTAAGCTCCATAACAGGAGGGATTTAGGTCTTCAGTGCCTAGAAAGGAGAGAGCCAACAGATAAACAAAGAAATAACAGGATAGTTGCATGATATAATAAGCCCTGTGAAAGAAAGAAGTAGGGGTGTGTGATAAAGAATAACTAAACAGGGGCCAGAGATAGTGTCTTTGGAAGGCATCTTTGAGGAAGCTGTAACCCGGTTGAGCAAGCCAGCCGTGAGGAAGATGACAAAGTGTATTCCAAGCAGAGGGGACAGCAAGTGCAAAGGTCCAGGGGTAGGAAAGAGCCTGGCAGGCTTGAGGCACAGAGAGGAGCCTAGCATAACTAAAGCAGAGAGAATGGTATGAGAGGAGGTAGGAGAGGCAGGTAGGGGACCTCAGAGAATTCACTGGTTTGGATTTTAGTCCAAGGGCACTAGAAAGCCATTGAATTATTTTGTTGAGATGGGATATGACCAAAGAAGCTAAATAGAAAATGCACTGAGCAACCAAAGCCATCAGGGGAAGTGGTTAACTTATTTCACAAACAGCCTAAGTCCCAGTTGAGTTTCTGAGGCAGTAAGGCCTGGGGTTAGTAAACAACATTTAGAATGCTGTCCAAGTGTGGCGTTCCTGTGGGATGCTGTGTGTCTTGTCCCTGAGGTGGACCATCCGGAAGGAAGCGTCACACAGCCGCCAACCAGAGGAAAAGCAAGAGAATCCAAGGTGCAAGATTCTTGCTTAAGGCAATGAGAAAACATTACTGCAGAGAGAGTAATAAGGGAACCATGTTCTGTGCAGGAGGGAGAAGGCCTTAGGGCCTAGAATAGAGGAAGCAGGAAGGCGGCATTTGGTCCCCACCAGTATCCCAGAGGTGAGAAATGCCCTGCAGGGGCCACAACCATAGAAGGAGACTTGAGCTGGGGCTGGTGCTTATATTAGCACCTGCCCAGGATAGAGTGTTCCAGCAGGAAAAAAGCAGCCAACCTAGATCCAGGACCAGAAGGTCAGGATCCGGCTACCCAGAGGGCAGTTGAACATTTGCCAGAAAATCTGCAGGCCAGTCCATAAACCATTTGTGTGCTAGGATCAGAGAGCAAGGTTAGGCTCTGGAAACAGAGCCAGGCCTGCTGGCTCTGGATACTTGTAGGTATCAATGACCACGAAATGGAAACCTGCTCAGCCTGCCTGCGCCATGGGATGGCCAGACTGGCCTGGACTTGATGGAAGTTTAATGGGATTTTCTTTTAAACACCTGGAAGGAAGTAAATCAAGATGAATGATCTGGAATTCATTCCCAAGCCAGGGGCTGGAGTGACATGGAGAGCAGGGATTTCTTATCTGCCCCTGACTGGCTGAGTGATCCCTCAAAAAGCACATCACACAGCCCTTCAGTTTTCTTAATTTTTTCCAGCTTTATTGAGATATAATTGTTATACCCTTAGTTTGCTCATCTGTCATAAGGAAGAGGAAAAATTCCTTGCAAGAAACAGCTGATTAAAAAAAACGAATTCTTTTTTTTTTTTAAATATTTGTATGTATTTCTAGGAGAGAGAGAGAGAGACAGCGTGAGCAGGGGAGGGTCAGAGAGAGAGGGAGTCATAGACTCTGAAACAGACTCCAGGCTCTGAGCTGCCAGTCAGCACAGAGCCCGACGCAGGGCTCGAACCCACAAACTATGAGATCATGACCTAAGCAAAAATCAGACGCTTAACTGACTAAGCCACCCAGGTGCCCCTTTTTTTTTTTTAATGAAAAAAAATGAATTCTTAACCAGAATTCTAAATCAGTTTACTGGAGATATGTGTGTATCTCCCATATATATCCCATAAATGTACATATACATATCATATACTACATATATCCCATATGTATTTATATATACTTATAAATGTTATATATGCATATAAATGCTATTATTTATCAAGCACTTATTATTGCCAGCTGCTAGTCTCAGTGCCTTAAGTATATTTTCTCATACAACCTTCATGATGTATGAAATAGACATCATTATTATCCCCACTTTATAGCTGAGCACACTACGGCTCTGAGAGTTATGCAGCCTGTCCATCCATGATCACTCCGTAAGGGCAGAGCTGGGATTCCACCCCACGAATCTGACTCCAGATCCCATACTCTGGAATAAGCAGCCCACTCTGAT